AGTGGAAAACATACTTACTACCCTCAATTATGAGAAATGAGCATTTGCATCATCTCAAAGTGGAGGATATAGTCTTGGATTTAAAATCAATAAGACACCACTCAACACCCAAGTGGAAAATGACTCACTTCACTACATATCATAAAAGTATAGTAGTTTGCATCACTACAAGAATTGACAAGAGTCTAATCTTTTAAGAAAAGTTTTAAAATAAAAAGCCAAGCGGAAAAATGGTTTGAATGAAGTTTCAAATTTCGTTCAAGGATACTCCATTTTGAGTTCATATGATCATCCTTGTGCTTTGGAATTCAAGAAAACATAAAAAATGACAAGTTGGAATATGGTGGTTTGACCTAAAATTCAAGTATGGCATGCACTTGGTTCAAACACCATAACTTCTTCAATTTTCACAATTTATGGGCGGATATTTTTTCCAAATGTCAAGAATGATGTCCTCTATAACTTTGATTTAGAGGTAAAACATCAATTCAATCTCTAAGACTCTCAAATCTTGAAAGCCACTTATGCACAAAGCATAGTCCATGACATGTTTAACCTAATGTCTGGCCTAAATTTTAGGTCACGACCCCAACTTTCAACTCATGTCATTTTCATCTCAAGCATTCAATTGATCTGGTTATTTTTACATTATGTTCTACTCTATGAAAAAATCATTTGGAAAAAAGAAAATCAAGAAATGCACGAGTAGATTTTATTTGGGATAAGCATGAACATGGTGACCTAAACTATGTTTGAATCAAGTGACACGTAATTAGAAATGACCTAAAACTCAAAGGGGACCACTTTGCACATGTGGAAACTTGTTTATCATGATGAAACACATTTGGCAGAACACAAAACAACTAGAATAGCTCAGCAAATCACACTTTCTATGCTCATTCTCACACGATTTAGATCTAGAATTTTCCAAACTTGATTCACACAATTGAAGAGTAATTTGGCACGTATGATGAGCTCACTCATTCTCCTATGAATGAAGCTCACTTCTGCACTGAAAACCAAGCTTGAAAAGCCAAAAAAACCTCTGATACTTTGAAGCTTAAAAACTCTAAAAACCAGAAGATCGAGATACCATTTTCTCTTTATTTCAACTTCAATTCTCCACCAAGAATCTATCATCGGGCCCCTCTGAAGCTAATTGAAGCATTACAGAAGCTTGTTGTGACCTCTAAGTACCAACTCGATCTCACCATTTTCATACCTTCTGAGCTTACTTCGAACAGGTAGCTACGAGTTTCATTTTCACTCAAACAATTTACCACACTCTTCGTCTTGTTCTTTTGATGAAAAGCCTTCACCTAACTGAGATTTATTGTTGTTGTTTATCATTTAATTTTGTTTTGAAACTCTTAGGGTTTTTGTGTGTTTCTGCAAATTCTCCTTGCTCAGATCAAATAAATTGATCTTGAGCAAGGACACGTGAACAATGAAGTGTGATTAAGCTTACATGATGTGTGTTTAAGCTTAAAATTAAATTTCATGACCTTGCCGAACAAGGGTTCAAAAGGTTAAAGACGATGATGTTCGCGTCTTTTAGAGAAAAAATTTGAATCTCCAGCCAATGACATTAAGCCACACGTGCTAGCCGTTATTCCTTTTATTTATTTTTTATTTAAATTTCATTTTATTTCACTTTCTTCAAAAATTAATTAAAAATAGCTCCTAACAGCTTTTTCACTCCAATTGTTTTCCATAATTTTCTAAAAATATTTTCTACCTTGTGTAATTTTTTCAAATTTTAAAAATGATTTTTAGAAGTTTTTGCTATTTTATTTGTTTTTTATTTTAATTGATTTCCAATAATTGTTTCTCATTTATTTAGAACTATTTTAGATCCAATCTTTTGAGATATTAATCCTTGGAGTTTTCTTGATCTTCCATAATTTTCTTGAGAATTTATTTGATGATTTGATGCTTCATTTGAATTTTCCTTTTTATTTTATATTTTAAACCATTTAAAAATCATTTCAATTCATTTTATTTGTTTATTTCTCCATTTATTTTTGTGTTTGACTTCTGTTGACTTGGATAATGACTTATTTGGTCAAATGCTTAATCAATATCAATGGACTTTGGATGATACTTTGTTTGCATGAATCTTCATCGTTTCAAAATTATCATTAAATGATCATTTGGATCATTTTTTATACTTTAGATTGATGATAGGTTTATCACATTGATATATCAAGAGAGGTGCTTGAAATTGATGATAATTTAACCTAAAGTTGTGGTTCAATTTGGTTCCTCATCTCTCTTCATCTCTTTTTTCTTTTATTTTGATTAATTGGATGATGATGTATTCATCTTGTTCAATTAGGTTTAGATTGATGCTTTTGATGAACTTTCATCATTTCAAATTTACCATTAAATGATCATTTGATCACTTTTGATACTTTGAATTGATGATAAGTTTGTCTAAAGGTATCGTGAAAAATTTGATTGAAGTAATGATCTAATCTCCCTGCCTTTGTGCTTGATCACTTATCTCTTCATCTATTTTTCCTTTTGTTTTAAACCATGGTGTTGCATTTTTTTTGGAGAATGACTTTGTATCATATCTCTAACATGAATCATACCTACATTGCTATTGTCGATCTCAAATAGGTACACATTCTACTTAAGTTCACTTACGATTGCTTAATATAGTGCTAAATTTGTCCTGAATCGGATTATTAACTTACAAACACCAACATTAACTCAATATTAATTGTGCTAACTTTATATTTCCGCACTTTTACATTAATGTCATTTAATTTCTTGCCCTTTATATTAACTCAATTTAATTTCAAGCACTTTACATTTTATGTCATTTACATTTCATATCATTTACTTTTATGTCTTTTTCCTTTTGCCCCTTGGGCTTTTCTTTTTATTTTGATTAAAAGATATTAATAAAGGAAAAACCCTAAAAAACTTTAATGTGTTCTTTAGGACTATTTGGTTACTATCCTTTGCTTGAGGAGTTTGGACTTTCGACCTAGGATTTAGAACATTTCCTTTGTATGGAGTGAATTCATTTGAGACCTAAGGATTCATTTGATACATTATGAATTCATCTGAGACATTGTGGCTTATCAGGACCTTTGAACTTCAAATTAAGACTTGGCTCTAATCACCCTGGAATTTCATCGGATACATTGAGTTTCATCTGATGTTGGAATTTAATGTAAATTTTGTCCCGATCACTACATATATGTACAATAAAACGACATTATAAAGATAAGCAAAAGTGAAACAGAAGTGAAAAAAAATGGAAAACTATGGTTTATGTTCTTAAAGGTTAATAATTTGCCTTCATAATCCTAAATACTAGATAAATCCCTACAAAAAGTAATGTGTTGTTAAACTGTGAAAAAACATTTTTGAAATAATTCAAATAGCTTAATTCGTCTCAATACCTTCTAGGATGTCACAGACCACTAACGTGATTTCAACAATAAACCAAAGAATGAAATTAGACACACAAGAATATTCAACTCTACAATGCCCTGCTAAGTGCTTTCCTACAAGCATCAAATAGAATACACAAAAATCAGACAATTTACCTCCAATAACATGCATATCAAATTTATTCAGTAAAAGTAAAGTACCAGTGTCCACCCCAAGATTTACAGCCATCGACTGAAGTACAACAACAACACATGATGCTGCCAATATGATCCAAAGTAACTGGAAAAAAATGTGAAAAAGAGATAAGTAGTCTCAACCATAAGCACTAAAATAATACATCATAATACCTCATATTTATATTGCGCCCCATATTGTAGGTCTGTCTCAAATGCGAGTGATTATAAGAATGCTATAAGCATATATATTATGCCAATTTACTTGCTTTAATTAGAATTACTAGAGAAAAAACATGACAAGGGTGATCTTATCTTATAGTTTCCTAGGTCTATATATAAGCAATGGAATCAAGAAACCCATGGCTCATATATTTAAATAATTTTTTCCAGTTGGTTCTTTGCAAATTAGAAAAATAGAAATAAATTGTGATTATCAAACCAGAACGAAACAAAAACATGAAAAAGTTAAATGAAAAAAATGTGAAACACTTCATCAAAAAATATGAAAAAGTGAAGAAAACCAGGAAAAGAACGGTAAATTATAGAAGATACCTTTCATTTTGCAAACATATTCTCTCATATTTGAATGGCCTTAGATGGAGACTGGATTTCCATAAAATTGCTCCGAAATAAAATATGTTTGGTTCTCTAAAGAGAGCATGAGGAAAAGAGAAAAAAATGTTTCCTTTTTCCATTTCGAACTGTGACGGTCCGAGAATGAGAAGTGGTAGTCGACGACAAGGTTCGTCGAAACAAAAGTTTATTCCGTTCATTAGGAAGGTCGTGAGATGTGGAGAACGAATATGAGATTGATTTTTCAATTGGTGGTGATGATGGTGGAGAAAGGACTATCGCAGATTAGGGTTGGAGGAGGGAAAGAGAGACGAGACTAAGGGGAGATTGTATAGAGATGATGATTGAGACAAATTGCAAATATAAAGTCGGATAAAACGTTGTTTCGAAGTAAGACAAGAGAGAATTTGAAAAATATATGCCAATTGTCTAAAAGAATTAAGGTGATTAATTCATTGTCCATGAATTAATAAATTTTCAATAAGAACTTTTTTGTAATGTAAACATTATATTAGAAAGGGTAAATTAGGAAGATAGATGACATTTTTCAATTTTAGTTAAGTAGTTGATTAAATAGGTTATTTTTGTTTATGGTTGTATTACACATTGCCACATGGACAAATTTGATTGGGTATATAGTAATTCTTTTTACTGATTAAAAATAAATCAATACCCCAGTTTATAGTTAGCATGGGAGGGAAACATTTGTACATCATCTCCACGTGTCAAAACGAGAACCAGTGCAAATGAATATCTTTTCCACAAAATAATAATAAAAAAAATCTCCAAGCTGTTACAGTAACAGCAAGCTAAGGAGGAAGAAATAGAAGGACCAACACGATGAGTAGCATAGCTCTACTTGTCTCTTTCTCTCCTCCTTCGTCTTCTTCCTCGCCACAATTCCGCACCAGAACCACTCATTCACCTTCCCAGTTCCCATTCCACTTCCTCTCCCGTCGGAAGCAAGCAGGAAAGGTTTGGGCCGATGTCAAGTCCGAGAAGCACGTGCCTGAACCCTCCAGCAAGTACCAGGATCTCACCCTACACAAGAAAGCAGCACGTGCGTTGGATATTGGAGAAGATGTGGAAGATGAAGAGACGTCAACATCAATATCTTCTTCGTGGTGGGAAGTTTTTCCCAAAAGATGGGTTATCGTAATTCTTTGCTTCTCCGCTTTTCTTCTATGTAACATGGATAGAGTGAGTATGCTCCTTTTTTTAACCTATTCTATGACTCAATTATAGTTCAAGATTGAAATGGAGCTATATATAGCATGGTTTATTAGTTATTGCCTATGAAACAAAGACACGAGTAACATGACACCGACAATGGTGTGGAGAAACGTCATCCATGATATTGTGAAAAATATGGTTAAGAAATAATTTTTGGAAAACTTGGTGGACAAATAATTTAAAATTATGGAAAACTTATTATTTAGAAGATTAGATTATAATTGCGGTGGAGTCTTCAATTAGCTTTAGCTCTTAGAAGCTTCCATTTGTTTCACATTTACAGGTAAATATGAGCATTGCTATACTTCCTATGTCAGCAGAGTACAACTGGAACCCAACCACTGTAGGTTTAGTACAGTCTTCTTTCTTTTGGGGATACCTCCTCACTCAGGTAAATACAGGTTCGTTTTGATTAGTAGCTATTTTTCTTTTGGCATAAGTTTGAAATTAAGGCCATGACTCTGATGCATAGGTAGATACTTGTTGCAGATTGCTGGTGGAATTTGGGCTGACACAGTGGGAGGGAAGCAGGTTTTGGGATTCGGCGTCATTTGGTGGTCCGTCGCTACAATCCTCACTCCTGTTGCTGCTAAACTCGGGTTGCCTTTCCTACTAGTTGCCCGTGCATTCATGGGAGTCGGTGAGGTGCGTGTAGTTAAATGTTCCATTTTGTTGGCAAAACAAGTCATCTGTTACCTCCATCTCTAAATATAACTCCATTGACTAAATCACAGGAGTTTAAAAATGGCTGTAGTAGTGATATTAAATTTGTTCACATTTGATATTGTCTTACAAGTTACAAGTTTACCCTTTAGGAGAGGGAATTTGTGTACGTTTCCATTCGATTATTTATTGCAGTTGCGGAAAAAGATATAACATAATTAGGCTAGGGACATATACTGTAATAAAGTATAAAAGTGAAACATTCATTTTTGAACTCCATACTGTCTCTGATTTTAGTAATGATTTGATTCATATAGTTGGTGATGCTACAATAGGATGATAGCTTTTTTCCATGTGGAGCTAACTTGTTTTGGATCTTACTAGGGGGTTGCTATGCCGGCCATGAATAATATTCTTTCAAAATGGGTTCCTGTGGCAGAGAGAAGTAGATCATTAGCTCTTGTATACAGTGGCATGTACCTTGGATCAGTCACTGGACTCGCCTTTTCACCTTTCCTAATTCATCAGTATGGATGGCCATCAGTGTTTTACTCCTTTGGTTCTCTAGGGACTGTTTGGTTTTGTATATGGCTTAATAAGGTTAGAATTCACATATGTAATATTACCCATGCAAAAATGCATCCTTTCTGAACTTGGAAATATATGCATAACACACATTTTCTCGATAGAAATACTTTTTGTTTTGAAGTCGATATCTTCATTATAAGTTTTCTAACTACCAAGTACCAACATATTGTTTTTTGTTTCCAAAAAGTTCGCTCTATCTAAGTAGAAATTTTATTGTTTCACATGCTAATATTATAGGCGCATAGTTCGCCACTTGATGATCCTGAAATGTTGCCAGAAGAAAAGAAGTTAATTGCTACTAACGGTATGTCCAAGGAACCTGTGAAGGAAATACCTTGGAGATTAATTTTGTCTAAACCACCAGTCTGGGCCCTGATAGTGTGCCACTTTTGCCATAATTGGGGAACTTTCATTCTTCTTACATGGATGCCAACATACTATAACCAAGTAAGTCTTTTTTTCTTTGCATGTTCGCTACGTACGCGACTTGGTGCTAGCAAAGTTAGATTCATTTTCATATTTTTTTTTCTTTTTATGTTTTGCATTCTTGTGCATGAATTTATTTCTATGATGAAGTTAACTTTACCTATGCATAAGAAAAAATACCTATATTCATCAAGCTTCAATTTTCACTCAGCACTGTCAAGACTCAAGCTAGTAGAGTTCAGATTTTGACTCATGTTTTAACCAACATCAAGATACACAAAATGTTTTTATTTGCAATCTTATTGGATACTTCAAAAGAAAATGACTTTGTTAAAGTTAACCAGAGGTATTTTCAAATATAATAGGTGTTGAAGTTCAATCTTACAGAATCTGGACTATTTTGTGTTTTACCATGGCTTACGATGGCAATTTCTGCAAATTTTGGTGGTTGGATTGCAGACACTCTTGTGACCCGAGGTGTATCTGTTACAACGGTCCGCAAGGTATCTCCCGTCGATTTATCTTCTCACAATTTATTCTTTTGATGGTTTACTTATTTAGAGGCACATAAAATATTTTAATACCACGATTCACATTATAGTTCTACACTTTCTTTGCAGATAATGCAAACAGTTGGGTTTCTAGGTCCTGCTTTTTTCTTGACTCAATTGAGCCACATTCATTCTCCTGTAATGGCTGTTTTGTGTATGACTTGCAGTCAGGTTTGCTTCTTCTGTATTTGATGCATTTCTTATTCTGATAAAGAATTTTCATATAATCCCAACATAAATTCTGTTGTTGTGCATCTCTTTAAATCTTTCTAGAGAAATTGTGACTACTATTTATTTTCCTAAAATGTGCTGTCAATTGCAAATAGTAGAAAAAATGGTTTATTCAAACTTCACTATACAACAGTGCTATAGTTGCTATTTGACAACATTTTGTTTTCAATAGGTATCGCGGAGCAATAGTGATATGTTCAAATTCTGCTTCTCTATCGCTATAGCATCGTTATAGCTTCTATTTAACAACAATTGTTCCTAAGTCAGAGTTCACTTCTATAACTTTTACTTAGTTTTTAGTTCATACCAGATGCTTCATATTCTGCAACTTAAACAGTAAAATTAAATTTTCTTTACAACTGTGTCTTGAAACCTCTTTTAAGACAACTTAACTATAAATTTCTCTCTCGCTATAACATCATTTAAAATTAGTTAGCGTTGGTTAATCCATTAATTCCATTGACCTTACATGTTCCTCGCCTCACCTATTTCAAATTCCGCTTGAACAGGGAACAGATGCATTCTCTCAGTCTGGATTATATTCAAACCATCAAGATATAGCCCCTCGATATTCTGTAAGTGGTTTCATTATAATTTGAAATGCAGAACAAGAATGCAAAAACAAGAAGATGGTTTACTATGCTAAATTGTTGTCCTTAGGGAAAGAAATATGATTTCTATATTCATTTCTTTTTTTAGGGGATACTGCTCGGTCTATCTAATACCGCTGGAGTACTTGCTGGTGTTCTTGGAACAGCAGCAACAGGTTACATTCTACAGCATGGTAAGTATTTGTTTCTGTTGTCCATATTCATTATCTTTCTATGAAAGCTTATCATTGGAAAGACGATATGACACTATTTATTCTCTTTGCTTATTATCAGGCTCGTGGGATGATGTTTTCAAGGTTTCAGTTGGGCTGTATTTGGTTGGAACCGTGGTGTGGAACCTTTTTTCAACCGGTGAAAAGATCATAGACTAACATACTGTGACCGATAATTGATACTTTCTCATGCAAGTACATATAGATACATCTCGTACTTTCTCATTGAAGGAGGGCTAAGAACAGAAAAGAGTTCAATCATGAAGCAACTCACTTTATCAGAAATTTATGCCCGAGAAAATGGTAAATTTTGTGGATAGCCCGTTTCGCTGGCCTTGAAAGATGGATTGGATTAGCTTTATTTAATCCGAGATGTATCCTTTATATTGTTTTTCCCATATTTGGTGGGAAGTTCATAGTGATTTCTTAAATTAACACATCCTATACGTGTAAATATAATTTCCAAACCAACAAATCAATTTTGTGACAATGAATCAAGAAAAGTAGTCTATGTAGTATTCTTCATGGAGCTTCTTTTGTCTTTCCATTTTTTCTTATCTGTCTGTTTTACTTGCAGTCTTTGGTCAACTAAGTTGGTGATGTTAGTATTGCAGAGTGGGATCTTTTGGTGGAAAAGGTTTCGGTACATAATCTTTAAGCTCTTTATATAAAAGAACAGTAGTGTAGTTAAAACAAATCCATGTATGTGAGTATTCTAATCTTGTGAGATTTGTGATTAGAGTGTAACAGTTACTATTGATCAACCAATTTCACCTAAGCATAGGATTGGTCAGGAATTGATGAAATAGATGTCAATGCTTCATATTAAACCAAGTCTAGGTTTATCTACCGGGGTAAATTGTGATTTTATGGTTTAATTTTAATTAATAAACAAAATAGAGTTAAAAAATGTAATTACTTTTTAAAGTATTTGAATTAAATTTATGTGTACATCAAGAATCAAATGGACTACTTGTGTATATTCATCCGGTTGCCGAAACTCTACCGTTTATTTTTTTAAAAATATCAGTCAAATAAGTGGAAATATGAGGAATTTTTTACCCAAATAATCCACACTTTCAAATTTATTTTTAAACTCAGGTTTCAAAAAAATTCTAATCTATCCCAATTTCAAACAAAAAATATAAAATAAGGAGTCAGTGTCAGATGAATTGGCGACTCGATTGTAAAATTATAGGGTGACACCAATTGAATTGGAGACTCAATCTAGTCTAGTCAATTCAAATGGCGTTAGTGTGCTAAGCTTTAAGTGGTGGTGTCATTGAATTGGCGCCTATGTGCATTGTTAAAGGGTGGTGCCAATTCAACTGACAATAATGTATTGGATGTTTTTTTTACTATAAATAGAGGCGTCTTCTAATATTCACTCTACACGACACCTCTTCTTAACTTTAACAGTTCTATCATGATTATTAGAAGAAATGAGCATGTGTTTTATTCGAGAACGAAGTCACTGATGAAAATATTTTTTTGGAACATTCAAGTTTTCGAGCATCTTGAAAGGAGTTTGAACTGTTTGTTAGTTGGAGAGATTGTAGATAGGGAAAAATTAGAAGTATTGAGAGGATTGTTTCGTATATCTCAATTGCAGATGATAATACGACTATGCAACGTATGTGGATGTAAGTTAAAGATGACACTAATGTTAGAGTTATGATGTCTTTATCAGATGATATTGTTTTTCTTGTTGTAATATCTTCGACATATGTCTCTGTTAAGTGTTTTTATTTGTTGCTTGTGTTTTTGTTTTAGATGAGTTTATGTTTGTGTCTTGTTGGGATGCGTTTATGTTTTTGGGGTGTTTATGTTAATTCGCTTAAAATAACTCACAAACATAAACTCACCTAACACAAAAACACAAACAACAAACAAAAACACTTGACAAAGATATATGTCTAAGATATTAAAACAAGCAAAACAATATCATCTCGTGAAGACATCATAACTTTAGCATCAATGTCATCTTTAACTCGCATCCACATACGCTGCATAGCATTATTGTCATCTGCAATTGACATATACGAAACAACTCTCTCAATATTTCTAATTATTTCCCCATCTGCAATCTTTCTATCTAACCAATGGTTCAAACTCCTTTCAAGAATGTTACAAAAAAGTATTTTCATCAGGACTTTGTTCTCGAATAAAATACATGCTCATTTCTTCTAACAATCATGATAGAACTATTGAAGTTAAGAAGAGGTGTGGTGTAGATTGAATGTTAGAAGACACATTTATTTATAGTAAACATCATCTAACACACTGTTGCCAGTTGAATTGGCACCACCCTTTAACAATACACACAGACGCCAATTCAACTGGCGCCACCACTTAAAGATGGGCACACTAGCGCCAATTCAATTGGCTATACTAAATGGAGTCGCCTATTAAATCAATGCCACCCTTTAATTTTATAGTGGAGTCACCAATTCATCTGACACTGGCTTTGCATTCCAATTTTTTTTTATAAAAAAATTGGGGTAGATTGAGAATTTTTGAAACCTGGATTAGTTTGGGAATAAAATTGAAAAATTGAGTTATTTGGATAAAATTTTCAAATATGGGAGTCTTAACAAATTAATAGACATGATGAGTATGATAGTTGAGAAATTATCTTCAAAAATAAATTTGATTTTAAAGATGGAAAAATGTAATGGTCTATTAACTTGAAATTAAATAGTTTGTGTTCGGGTTATTCATTAAGGCCCATATAGAAAGGCCTAAAAACTACATCACGCGAAAGAGAAAATACAATAAGAGGTCCCTTATTCCCCCAAGGGTAGATGATTCCATCTTCCAGTCACGTCAATTATCATATGATTAGATCTAATGACCTTCACTCGCATTATATAAGGAAGAAAGTGCGTCATTTCAAGTATTCAAATTCATTTTCACTCTCACATTACTTTTTTATATAAAGTAGAAGGCCTAAGGTGAATATATTTGTGACTAAAATTAAGTCAGAGTAATTACTACAGAAGACAAATACCTCTTACCGAGCATAAGGTTCTAGAACCTAGAGAACAATTTTGGATTTGCCCTAAAGAAAACAATTGATCCAAGCAAAGGAGAGAAAAGAGAATCATTGGACAATAGAGTAAATTATATATCATCGTCTGGATATTTTTTACTGTGAAAATTGGTAAACAACCGCTAGTCTTCCGAATTCTAGAAATTCTGGTAACTTACAGGATCGACTAGATTGATCCTAAGACATGTGTTGTGTTTCGTTGGTTTATATCTTTCGAATATTCATCTTTTCAAACGTTATGGTTAAAGTGTAAAGGACAAAAATTCTATGTAAAATGACTATAGGAAAGTAAAAAGACTTCTACTTAAAAATAAAAGGAATGAAAGAGATTCTGATAAATATGAATTCACAATTAATTAAAATGTGGTGATTCATACGTACAATCTCAAAGACTTTTTTTCTCTAAACACTGGTACTTCGAGTTTTATGAGTAACTTGTACAAAAGTGAACACACTAAAATCTAACATTAAAACCTTAATTTATACTACTTCGACCATAACGATCTTTCACTATAGAAGTGTCGCGTTCGACGCTGCATACTTTCTTAAAACCTCGGGCTTCCACGCGTCCTTCTTGATAAGAACAAAACATTTGAATTCAAATCCACCTTCGATCCAAAGAACCAAACATCATGATATGATCTATCGAATTATTTGAATTTGAAGCTTTAAATATCTTTAAGTCATATACATTTCATAATACTAAGACTTTGCTAATTCTCAATCCTTACTTAGTCAATCAATCGAAAACCATATATAACAACCTCTACTTCCCTTTATAAAAATAAACTTTCTTCGACATCCTATTACTTCTTCCAAATTATGTATCATCGAAATTCCAACCAACAAATTATCCACCAAAAATGTTTATTTAGCAATATTTGAAGAAATAAACATTTTTTCAAAGTTTCAATTTCGACGCTGAATTTCTCATGATGACTATTACTGCCATGACGTCATGGTCATGATGACCATCTTTCCAAACGTCTCATTGAGATGTGAGTAGTTCAGTTTTTCATCATTGCTACAATAAAGTAGGTATAAGTTGTGGCTTTCCCCAAAAAGTAACCATCTTATCAATTAATCAGCCAACGACACATGCCCCACTATCTCTCATTTACTAAAATAAAAACGAATTGTATCTTTCCACCTTTTTTATTATAAATACATCTTATTCTTCTTCAGATCAATAGTTTTCTACTTTTAAAACTCTTCAAGAACTTGTGATTTCCTCCATTTTTCTTCTTTCCAAAATCAATCAAACAACTTCAACTCTTCTTCAACAATGGTGCCCTCCAAGAAAGGAAATAAATCTTTCCAAGACTTAAAGAAAGATAAAAATGTTGCTACCATTCCATTGGTCACATTGCAAGACCCACTTTGGTTAGAAACAAGGAGTTCGTGCCAATGCCCACACTTTGTGCAGAATAATGTGCTATTTATGCATCCCATGTAATTATTCCCTTCACCCTTGCTGATAGAAACTTAGGATATATGGGTCCTTTGGTTAATGTTGATGATTTAGAGAAAACCAAAGGATTTTTCCCTACTTATCTTTCAGCCAAACCCATAACTAGTAAACCTAGTACCCCCAAAAATGTAGGTGAAAAGGTTGATCAAAATCCTAAAGGGGCAACTGCAGAAATTGTTCAAGGAAAAAATCCCTCAAAAACTGTAAAGGCAAAAGAAAACCTTTCACTTAGATTACATGATTGAATCTTTTAGGCCTTTTAGATCATGACCTGCGAAGGATAGTAAGTCATATCTCAATTGGCTGGCTAAAGTCGAATAGAAGAAATCCCGTGTTTGGAAAGACATGGGTATTTTCGATCTAATTCAGTTAACGAGAGTAGGACCAAGTGTTGTACCCCAAAATTTGCCCTCCCTTTTTCACAAGAAATCACAACCCTAGGGTTTTCTCTGATTTTTAAGGTTGGCTCAAGAATCGATCAAACAAACTTTTCTTTAGCAGTAAATCCAGAATTAGGGTTTTCTCTCGCATTTCTCAGAAGAAATTGAATCCACAGAAATTCAGTTTACCGTTACATTGGTTTCTCACTTTTTCAAGTTTGCTGAAAGGTCAACTGTTTGTTTTCAAGGCCTGATT